CTTTACAGGAATGTCTGATCAACTATATAAGCAATAAATGCTGCTTTTACGTTTTATTCATTTTTTATGGGTTATATTGAAGCCAGGCATAATGTAACCAAATACGCCACCTACTGGTTGCATTACACCAATTTAAAAACTTTTTTTCACTCTGAAACAGGTATTGGTTTAGAACAAGCAGAGGTGTTCAAATCAGAGGCTGGGAACAATTTAGGGCCAAATAAATAAAAAAAGATTTCTTTAAGTTCAATTTAAAAAAGGAAAAGTTCTTTCATTTCTTTGGTTTATTTCATAATGATCTGTAAATATTTGTCGATCCTAAATATAAAAAGGTAATATCTACATTTTATTAATAAAAAATGTTTTAATAAGACAGACACAGATTACTTAAAAGCAGTGAAAAAAAATAATTACAACAAAGTTTTTGAACATTTAAGTAAATTTAAGATGTATACTGAAACCATTAGAACATTTTTCCAAGATTTTATTTTTATAAAAATAAAAGTCCCTGCTTGAACTTGCAGGTCAGATTTTACCCTGTTTCAGGATTTTTAGGAGCTGCACAAAATCAGTAGGAGAGCCACAAACGGCCCCTGGGCCTAGATCACTTTAAACTCCCTTTATATTTTGAGGGCAGTTGAAGTGCAGCTAAAACTTCTGCTAGTTCTTAAAGAAATAAATAAAAATGGTGTTTTAGTCTCCAAGGTAAATTAATCTAAGACAGTTTTCTATTAAAGCTTCTCCTTTTTCTACTTCTGTAGGTAGCTGTTAAAGCTCTGTGTTTGCACCTTGAATCTTTCTTTCTCTGGTTCTTTTCCCTGAAAAGAGATCAATCAGGACAAACTCTTTAAGTAACACTTAATAACTTATATATGTATTAAATAACCAGGAGACATGACAACAGATTCTGATAGAAAATGCAATCTTTCTCAGATCAGAGAAGTTGCTTAGAGTTACAGAAGGCAGCTGCTCACCTCTCAGGAAGTGATTAACAGTTAAAAAGGCATTTTATACATCTCCAGTCTGCCACTTTATGACATCATACACATTAGCAGATGATTAGACATCCATGGCTCCAGCATTATCAAAATATTACACTTTGTTCTCAGCTGAAGGACGCCGCTCTCATTCCATTCCCAAATATTTGCCAAGTGCAGAATGAAGATTATAACTTTATATAACCACACTGAGGAACCGTCTAAACCCTTTATAGGGCAAGTTGGTGTTTTTGATCCCTTGCATACGTCCTACAAATAGAGTCCAGCTCATCCCTCAGTGAGGTCTAGAAGCACAAGATCTATATCCAGCCATTCAGCAAAGATGCTGCTACATGGCTGTACATCTTATTTTGGCATTTGACCAATTACATGAGCCTTTGAATGATGTATTAACTACTAAAAAAAGTTAACAAGTCAAGAAAAAAAAGGTATAAAGCTAATTGAAAAGTTAAAAAGTTAATAAGCCTAGTTAACAATTATATTTAGGTTTATAAACTAAAAAATCTAAGTGCCAGTATCAGCATTAATGCCTCTAAGGTTGTGTTGGACCAAAAATGTGTTTCTTTCACTCTCAGAGTGTTTTTCATGAATTTCTTACAGAAGCATTTTAGTTATTTTTCTTAAAATATTCGGGCAAGTTGACGTTTCTTGTTATTACAGTGACTTTTTTTGCTTTTTCACCATCAAAATATCCATATTTTTATAATAAGGTAATAAGGTCTTGTCCTGGATTCCAATAACACTATTGGCTTGAAATTTGGATTTTAAAAGTATTTCGCTGTGGGTCCTATAAAGGGTTAATTAGATAAACTGTTGTGGAAAACATCAGTTCTGACACGCAACAGGCAGGCATAATAAACTCACACATCATTAATGATAATGATGAAACCCTTAAACGTCGATTGTCTTCATTCTCATCAGGGGATTTTTTTAAATAATAAAACCATTATGATTTAAAGTTCCTCTAAACTAAATTCCTGAACATTATAGAGATTCCTACTTATTGCAATGCCTCTACTGCAATTAGGACGCCACTTAGTTTCCTCCTTTTCATGACATTGAAACATGAAAAGAAATAGATATGAAAAAATCTTTAAGTTAATCTTTAAATGAATCTCTAATCAAGTTTATCTCAAAACCTTTTTTTGATTAACTCATTTATGCCTGAATTTATATATCAAGTGCCAGATTGATGTTATATTTTGAGTTTTATATGAAATTATTACATTTTATTGTGTTAAATAACTGTCAATGGCACTCATACCAGAAAAAAGTGCTCGCTAAAGCGTCCTAGGTGTGCACTGGATGTGTAATAACTGGCTTTGGGGGGAATGCACACAAAAGAATAACACAAAGTGTAAAAAAAGAAGAAAAAAATTAGAGTAAAGGCAATTTTGTTTAATATATTAAAAGTGAGCCACAAAGCTGAGGTTGCAGACCCCTGATCTAATGGATGGAAACTGTGATTCAGCTGGAGCCCAGAGCTCACTGTCATTTCTAAATAAATGTTAAAGGTGAAATATTAAATTGGTCCAAGGGATGAATCAGTTATGACTCCTTCTGTCAGCGCATATCATCATAAAAAGCTGATTTAGTATTACACTGTAAAAACTGATCTAGAAATATGTTAAAATTAAATTTGAGCAGACATTTTGTCAAAAGAATGTTAATTTTGACCATTAAAACTAGATAATTACATACTTTGACCTTTTTTTCTTCTTATTTCAAGCATAAATCATTTTATTCCGTCTGCAAATTCTTTTACCTACCTGCTCAAATCAAGGTAATATACACATATAAATAAATAAAAATTATTATTTTTAAAATATTGCATTGTTTTCAGTACAGGGCCCATCATGGCAGGGGTCGGGACCAGTTCTAAAGGAGCACTGGCCCCTGTTGGCCCCCATCTAGAACTGCCTATGCTTTTTTTCACGCACTATTGATATTATATTCTGATCCGTAACTAACATCTTTAATTTTACTTAGAAATTTTTGCTTGAAAAAAGTTTTTTTTTCTTTTTCTTTAGTCAACGAAGTCAGAGGTGCTTTCAAGAAACAAAATATATTTTCCTGTTGCCACCAACAGGAAAATATATATTTTTTTAAACTAAGAGAAGCATGAAAGACGCACTATAGTAGTTGATTTGCATGATTTAATAATTGTTTTCATATTTGGCACAACAGGCATCAAGCAGTAAAAACAATTTTTTAAGATTCATTCTGGGAAACTTTGTTTTTCAAATTTCCACAACTTGTTCTTTGTTTGCAAAGATAAAGGAAGTAAATTTACATCACAACAGTATATAAAAGCTTGAACTACACCCATATTATAAAGCTCACGTGTCAAATACAGTTTGGTAAAAAGCTGGAAGACTCTAATCTAATCTCTAATCTGGTGCATGATCGCTATGATCAGCTGCAGAATCAGAAGCTGCCCATAGGGCTCCTTTATTCTATAGGTGGTTACAGAACTAGAAAGAGGGAAATGTTGAGTTTGTTCGTTGAAGACGATCCTGAAAAGATGCAACTTTGACACAGGTGTGTTTGTGGGCAGATTCACTTAACGACAGTTTTAACACATAAAAACCTCCCACTGTCAACATGTGCAGCGGTGAAGTGAGCTGTAGGAAACTCACACACTGAAACCACAGAAACCTTCATTTTCCTGAATCATACCTGCTTCTTATTCTGCACTATTTCAGCGTCACTGGGTTCCTGCAGAAGATAACTGTCAAAAATGTTCATGTCTTTTAGCAATTTACCCCTCAGACACGTTTATCTGCTCTTTATTGATCAGAAGGTTTTTAGTTTTTAATTGAACTGTCTTCAATAAGCCTGGTATGGAAACACGGGCTCACTTTAGCCCACTATAGAAAAAGGACTACATGGGTTTAAACATATATAATAACAATTCATGATTAAATGTTTATCCTGGAGCATCAGAGCGCTACCTGTTTGATCTGTGAACGCTTTTCTATGCTTGAAACCAAACTAGCAGCAGTAGTGGAGTTTGGAGATTAAATCCACTTCATTAATCTATCTTTGCTCTCCTCTAATTTATCCAGAAGTTCTGCAATCGCACTTTTCTCTCCCTCCCAACTGTATATTTAGCAGCCTTCCCTGGAAATGCTTTTCCAAATTACTCTTTTTATTATTTGACAACCTCTCATTGCAAAGCAAACATGCAGGCAATCGTTCCGCATTGATAATGAAAGCAAAGGATTCGCTCCATTCTTCTTTGAATCCTCTGTTCTCATCAGCTATATTCATTTTTTCCCTTTGGGATCCATGTCTGAGACACATGCTGCTGCTTTGTTTACAACAACCACCTGCCTGGCACCGTAATGTGAGCTGCAGGGTATGAGGAAAATCTTCAAATACAGAAATTTTTAAATTTAATTGTATAAATTTATTCAATGTACATTTTTTTACAGCTTTGAAAAGCAGAATGAATGTTTGATCTCCTGCACAGCATGTTAAAACAAACGCTGGTGAAGATTCTCAATCATGCAGGTCATAATCATTCCCAAAAAAAAAAAGCTAATTAAAAACAATCCACCGGACTTTGTTACCAAGATTTAGATGAATTGCAAAAGCTTCCTGGATGGGAAGCGAAACATCTTGAAAACTTGGAAACAAAGTCCAGGGGATGGTTTTTAATTTTCTTTTTTTTTTTTTTGGAATAAAACAAACAAAATAAAAAAAAATTCAATTTTTTTTAAAAGCTCCAGGGAGCACTAAATATTGCAAACCTGTACCACTAATGATGCAAACTCTCAAAGCCTGGAACCTGTACCTCTCATACTCTTGAAATCACTCTGTTGTTTGGGTTTTGTATTTTATGTTTTAAAGTGTAAAAATACACATGTACATTCGTACCACACTGTATTATTTGGAAAAATTATTAAAAAAAAATTTCAAAAACAAAAAACAAAAAAACAAAAAAGCTCCAGGGAGCCGCAAGGGGGGCATTAAAAAGCCGCAGGTTATCGACCCTGACCTAAACGGAGTAATTTGCTACCTAGACAAAAAAAAAATAAAACAGAGAAAAGGAGTCAGAACCCTGAAAACAGAACCGCTCCACATTTAGCCTCCAGCTCGGCCGTCTGCATCGATGCTTCAGGCATTTCTCTCTGATGGAGGAACGTACTCCAGACCGAGATGAGCAAATATCTCCTCTTCTGATGAAGCTCTCAGATACTTTCCCTGCAAACAGAGATGCGTTAAAACATCATCACTGTATGTTCTTTATTTCATTTAACAAAGAGGAAAACTTCAGGTGTTAAAAGTGGACTATGTGGTCTATTGTGCTTTTGGAAACTAGAGCAGAAGGTTTGTATTTTATTGCTCCTCCCACCTGTTTGTTGTCGTACAGGGCGTGGCTGCTCAGAGACATGCCCCTCTCATGCCCCGCCCACCGCCGCAGCTCCCTCTCAAACAGCTGTAGATGAAGCGACATTTGTCGAATCGGTTAGAAGATACGATCAAGAAAAGAATCCATCTAAAAATTCCTACGTTTGATTTGCAAATTGAAACAAAAACAAGAAAAAAAAATTCCTACATTTTGGTTGATAAAATATTATAGCAACAAGCAGTTCATATTGTATTTCTCAGAGCCATACTAAATCAAATATATTAAGATAACATGTAGAGGGTAAGCATTAATTTGTTACATTTCATTTTTTGGCTCTCATCTTTAGACTGAAAAAAATCTAAATCCTTTTTCTTAAAATAACTAAATTTGTTCTTAAAAGAGACATTTTGCCAATAGAACAAGACAATTTGTATTTAAAATAAGAAAACACAATTGCTTTATTTAATTCTAAGTGCATATTATCTACAGGGATTAAAAAATTCTGACCCTGAACTTTTTATATATATATTAGGGATGGAACGGTTTTTGAAAACCGTCCGAATCGTTCGGTTCGACTGTCTCAGTTCGGTTCGCGTGTGTTTCGTTCGGTTCATCAGATGGCAAAGGTGCATCTATATCTAGTGTGAATGAGAGGTCGTGTTCGGCAAGGAAAGCACAAACCCTTATTTTTAACTTGCATGCACGATCAGTTATTGACGCTGGTACATCAGCTGTTGCCATAGCTCCCTGCAAATGTGTAGTGTGCGCGGCTGCACCAACAGCAGCATGAAGACCAGGGTCTAACTCATGTTTGCGTAGCAGCTTTTTGCAGCTGGATGCGTAAATAAGCTTCCTGGAAGCACAGCGTGCCAGAGTTCATGACCTGCATTGTTCCCACTCCATGCAATTCCATTCTTTCTATCGTCCTTCTCTCCAAACACAGTTTCAGTTATTTATTTTTTGACTTTTCACACGTCTGTCCGTTGAATGGAGCCGTAAACGGTGCAAGTTGGCTTTCCATGTAGAACTTCAGCTCTGTACCACAATCTATCTGGTGACTTGAGCAAGAAACAAGCGGAGGAGGAACACGCTTTCCTAAGACCCGCCCCCTTCTTCATCTGACTGGCTACCAGTAGTACTGTTAGTTTCAGAGCGCTCCTTTGCTACCATTGGCTGACAAATGCAAGAGGGATTTTGAATGTGTTTTTAAATTTTATTACCTGTCAATTTATTTTCGAGTGATATTTTTTACTCATGGGCAATCACTACGAGCCGGAATACTTTATTCTCTGTATCTGATTATATTTTTTTAAGAGTAAAGATACTCACTCCATTGGCAAACTATCTCATTAATCACTCAAATTAAGGATAAATACACTTAATGTAAGAAATATTTACTTATTTCTAGATCGTTTTTTCCAGTGTACGAATGCTATTTAATGGACTGAGATGAATGAAGGAATGATTGGCGGATTGGACGGACCTCAGCAGTCGACGATGATGCTAACCTTGGATCCGGTCCAGCCCAGGAGAGCGAAGGCGAACTGACTGATGGGGGAGACCACCAGGTCGACTCTCACAGCCCTCCACCGTCTCCCTGGGGCTCCATCCTTCTCCGACGGACCGCTGTCCTCGCCTGCTTCCTGCAGGTCGGCGTTTCCTCCGGTGGGCAGCTTGAAGATGGACAGACATCTCTCAAAGCGGTCGATGTTCGAGGCGGGGCGACCCGGACCATCCTCAGACTCCAGATAGGAATTTCTGGTAGTTTTCTGGTACAAAAGCAAACCCTGTTTATGAAAAAAAAGAGAAGATTAGGACGAAGTTTGGAAATCTGCAAAGATTCAGGAGAAATATGTTTTTTTATTCAATCAGGAAGCAGAGAAGCTTCTATCTGTGTGAGATAAACATTTTATTCTGGAGGAAACATTTAGAAGGCGATTTATTATAATGGACTTTTTATAAACTTTACTCAAAAGACAATATAAAGGGAATTCTGCTATTTCTTTCTAAACACATTATGAATCCCATAAATATATCGCTCTCTTCATGTAAAACGTCTCCCAAACATTTAGAACTGAATAGCGGCGATAAAATTATTTTTTGGTCGTAAAGTTTCTGTTCCAGTGTTTTGTAGTTATGTGTGAAAATGCTGCCAGATGTCGTCATGGCTTCGACATAAAGCCGCCCCGCTGCTCCAGCACTGAAAGGCAAGAATGTTTTTTATTTTATTATAAATTTTTCACTAAAAAAGCGAAAGTTAAGCTGGACTGAAAACTCTAACAATGATTAGAGACATTATATACCTTTTAACAGAAAAACATTTTCAAAATGGCCTTTTTATTTGACTCTTTATGTCTAAGATATGGTTTGATGAGCAGATGGACACCTCAGTAGCTCAGACTGGTGCTGAAACTATTAATCAGATTAATCGATTTTTGAAATAATCATCAACTCATTTAGTAATCCATAAATCCTTAACTGGAGTATAGTCCAGTCTTTAACTGACAGAGCATCCAACTTAGAGCAGTCATTTTGCATTTAAGTTAAAAAAACAAAAATGTTTTTGTCTCTCAATATGTTTATCCTACGGAAGCATATTGCCTTCACCAAAAAAAAAAAAAAATCTGAGAGCTTAACTCGTAATTATGAGATTTTATCTCGTAATTAGGAGATCTTATTTCCTAATTACAAGATCTTAATTTGGGTTTAGAGTGATTTTAGAAAAAAAATGCAAATAAAAAGTTAGCTATCTCTATAGTTGTGCTGCTATAGCCTTAGACTGCTGGAGGACATAGGGACTTCTATTTCATCATTCTATCTCTATTATCCCATTCTGCAGTATTTGTTAGTTAAATCTCTAACGTTCTGCTCTCTCTGCTTTTTCTCATAGTAGCTTCATCTTGTCTGTTCCTGTTTGGCTGTGACTCCATCCTGGAGGGAAATGTCTTTGTTTATAGATCATAGAGTTGGGCCTGTTTTTCAGTGTTTAGTCCTGTTTCTCTCCTAGACCTAGCTATCGGCTCAGCTTTTACTGTGACTGCGCACTTGGTCTTCACTTTGACATGAAAACATGCTCATAGTTCATCCGGCTAGCTGATTCTTTCCCAAACAGAGCCACCAAGGGAACTAGTGTACCGTTACCTTTTTAAAATAGAAAGTATTAATAGATCAGTGCTTCTATGTTTCTTTTTCTATGTCTGCTTCTGTCTCTTTGAACCCCAGTCGGCCTCAGCAGATGGCCGCTCACACTGAGCCTGGTTCTGCTGGAGGTTTCTTCCTGTTAAAAGGGAGTTTTTCCTCTCCACTGTTGCTACAAGCATGCTTAGTGTGAGGGATTGAATTTGAGTCAATGAGTCGATGCAATCAACTGGTTTTCCTTAGATAAATATAATTTGAACTGATCTGACTCTATGATCGGATTGAATTGTTTTTAGAAAGTCTGTTGACATGACATTTGTAAAGTGGTGCTATGGGAGTAAATTGGATTAAATTGAAGTGGATGACGAATACGTTCAATCAAAATGATCCAACATTTTAATGGAAACTGTTACTATGAAAAGCATACCCGTGACTCCAACCAGCAGACCAGTTTGGGCATCAGTCCCACCACACAGCCCTCCTCAGGGTGAGTAATCAGGAAGTCAACATCATGACCCGTTAGCTTCCCTCTGGACAATAAGAACCACGGTCAGCAGCTACCACTGATTTACCACTGCATGGTTCTGTCTCATGAAAGAACTGAATGATCTCCAACCTTCTGAATCCTCCAGTGAGAACAGTCTGAGCTCCCGGTAACACAGACGCCACGGCTCTTTCCACGATCTCCCTGATGGCATCAGCCTCTGCCTTGCTCACTGGCTGGTTGATGTCGTCGTAGTGCTGCAAACCTGCAACGCCACAAAATACAACGCTGGGAAAAAGTATGCGCCCCGTCCAGTGATGGGACTAACGGCGTTGAAAGTAACGGCGTTACTAACGCCGCGCAGGCGCGCAGGCGACCGGAAACGCGCAGGCTCGCTAAAGGCGCGCAACAGTCGCCCTGTGCTCGCGCCACAGGAGAACTATGGAGAGCGTGAACGATCAAATGAACCTGACAACAGCCAGAAATGATAGCCTATATGGAGAAAGGGAGAAATCTGGATGGATGGATGGATGGATGGATGGATGGATGGATGGATGGATGGATGGATGGATGGATGGATGGATGGATGGATGGATACTCTGCCTTCTCAACCTACTGTTTTTTATTTTAAACATTATTTGATGGCCTTTGTGGCAGGGATGGAGATCCATATTTTATGTCACACACAGAGTATACATCTAGATAGATGGATAGATAGATAGATAGATAGATAGATAGATAGATAGATAGATAGATAGATAGATAGATAGATAGATAGATAGATAGATAGATAGATAGATAGATAGATAGATAGATAGATAGATAGATAGATAGATAGATAGATAGATAGATAGATAGATAGATAGATAGATAGATAGATAGATAGATAGATAGATAGATGTTGCAGTATCTATAACAACCCAAACACACAGGATTTCAGAATTAGACATCCCCAATTATTAATTTCATATACTCACCGGATCTGAATGTCCTGTTATAAAACTTCACATGGCGTTCCCCCCTGATGTCATTTACGTTGAGTTGCAATAAATGCTAAACTCTCTGCAGGTACTTTGTCGTCCGCTCTATTCAGCTGGCTTTGGAAACACACGGCGAGAAGGTGGGGGCTGGGTGGTGAGGTTTACGGGGGCGAGAAACTCAAAAGTAACGCAATAGTTACTTTTACTAGTAACTAGTTACTTTTATTGTGGAGTAACTCAGTTAGTAACTCAGTTACATTTTGGGAGAAGTAACTAGTAACTATAACTAATTACTTTTTCAAAGTAACGTGCCCAACACTGGCCCCGTCACAAACTAGGCTTCCATGTCACATTTCAATGTTTTAGCATCCAACGCGGATAACCCGAGTAAACCAGCATGATTTAGTAGAAACAACACCTGCTTGCTGCGAGCGGTTGAGCGTTTGCCCAGAGTCTCGTAGCTGCTGAAGGTTGGTTATCCCCTCTCGTATCCATCGGTCAGCTGTTTTTGTCCCAACTCCAAAGATACCCGTCAACACCTGAAACACGATAAACACTTTACTTCAACACTATAAAGCTGCAGCTTGACTGAGATCTAGTTTGATCGAATGATTTTATCATTTGAGGTCATGGTTTTAAGGTTTATTAAATCCTTTAATTTCAAGACATTCTACTGAACTTATACACACATGGACATAATTGTTGGTTCCCTTCGTTTGATAAAAACAAAACAAAACTCAATGGTCACGGAAATATGACATAAGTATTTTTTTTAAATTAAAATGAACAAATGAAAGTCAGACATTTCTTTTTTAAACAGGATTTAAAAGAATGATTTAAAAATATAGACTCATGAAAAAGGCCTGGACTTAATGATGGTACCTAATTTTTTGCAGGCGAAATTTTTGCAGATGAATTTTTTGCAGGCAAATTTTTGCAGATGAATTTTTTGCAGGCGAAATTTTTGCAGATGAATTTTTTGCATGCAAATTTTTGCAGATGAATTTTTTGCATGCAAATTTTTGCAGCTGAATTTTTTGCAGGCGAAATTTTTGCATATACATTTTTTGCAGGCAGTTTTTTTGCAGCTGAATTTTTTGCAGATGAAGTTTTTGCAGGCCAAACTTTTTGCAGTGGAAATTTTTTGCAGGCGATATTTGCATCTGAATTTTATGCAGGCGAAATTTTTGCATATTAATTTTTTGCAGGCAAATTTATTGCAGATGAATTTTATGCATATTAATTTTTTGCAGGCCACATTTTTGCGTATTAATTTTTTGCAGGCGAAATTTTTGCAGCTGATTTTTTTGCAATACAATTTTTACCAGATATAAATTCAGTGTAAGGAATGCAATATATAAAAAAATTTATTTTTTAAAATTCGGTGTCCAAAAAAAGGCGGATTGCAATGGGACTGTTCTTCTTGCATACAATCACTGCAGTCAATCGATTCCTTTAACTGTCACCTAGACTTCTGCCCCTCTCAGCAGGTGTTTTGTTTCCGCTCCTCATCAGCGAACTGCTCCAGTTGTCTCAGGTTTGAAGGCTGCCTTTTCAGACGGCCTTTTTCAGCTCCTTCCAAAGATGCTCAGTAGGATTTAGATCAGGGCACCTAGAGGCCACCTAAGAATAGTGCAGTATTTTCCTCTTGTTCTACGTTCAGTCTGCAAGCAGCAGAAGCAGCAAAAACATGCGTGCTGCTTCATTTTTGATGCTTGTACAAGTTTATTTCTGATGCACGGCTGAAGCTACAAGCATGCTTAGTGTGAGGGATTGTATTAGAGTCAATGAGTCGATGCAATCAGCTGCTCTTCCTTAGATTGACAACTTTGAATCAATCTGACTGGATGATCTGGTGCACTGTAAAGTGCCTTAAGATGACTTGTGTTGTGAATTGGCGCTATAGAAATAAACTGATATGAATTGCTTGTTTCTGTGTGTTTCAGGTCATTATCCTGATGAAGACCCTTTAGCTGGACCGAGGCCACGCTTTTTTTCCTGCTTTATTTGGTTTTATAATTTCCTCTGCATTTTAGCTTGATGTGTGTGATTGGCTACTCTTTAAAATCTCCATTCGAAAAGGATTAGATGGGATTTTGACGTCAGTTTTCATCAAATCAATACAACTTTGATCGGTTATCCGTTAGCAAAACAGACCAACTTTAAGCCTCATTAAAAGGTTCATAGGAACCCTCTGCATGTATGGGCACTGCAAACTATTTAAATCTCAATAAGTCATTTTTTTCCTTAAAATAAGCGAAATTGTTCTTGAAATAAGACGGTAATTGAGACAGTTTGCCAGTGGAAAAGGACAATTTAGATTTAAAATAAGAAAAAACAATTATATTGTCTTATTTTAAGTGTATATTATCTAATTATCTTATTTTAAGAGTAAAAATCCTGATTGCATTGGCCAGTCATCTCATTTACCTGCTCAAATCAGCGTAAATACACTTAATTTGAGACATTTTAACTTATTTTTAGATCGTTTTTGCAGGGGGGGGGGGGGGGGGGGGGGGGGGGGTTACAGGATTATCGATTTCAGAGACTTTTTTTTACAGAAAGATTTAATTATTTTTCCGCTGCATTGGTTCTGAAATAAAATCTAAAATGCTGACCTTTAATTCTTTAAACCGCTCTGACGCCTTAGTGGATTCGACTTCACTTGATGCTCCAGTCTTCAAAATGTCCTGAAAAACCAGGAAAAAAATGGGCGGTGCTTTTATAGGGGGAGTCTGACCAGAGTTAGAAGTAAAGAAAAAAAAAACAGAAATAGTTCCACTGACTTTAATGACTTTGAGCGAGTGGTCCCCCAGGCAGGGCAGGCCTGTGAGCTGCGACATGTTGCTAACTGCAGAGGGAAGCGCCTTCAGCACAGCGGCGGCCCTGCGGAACGCCACGCCTCGGCCGTCCTCGCCGCTCAGCTCTGCCTTCTCAGCCAGGAGGGACAGAGCGTCCTGAGACAGAGAGCGCTCCGATGTGACATGGAGGTTAAACATCACACCGCTGCTGTGAACTGGAAGGAGACGCTTACTGTCAGAACAGGGTTATGGTTTCCCAGGGTGGTCCTCCTCTGACAGGCGTAGCTGGGGACGGAGAAGGGAGCGACATCCGCAGCGTTCACCGCTACGTCCTGAAAGACACACAGCCAACAGTCTTTATGAATGTCTAGAATGGAACAATTAGGTGACAGTTTAAAAAAATATAAACTATTTTGTTTAATTGGCTTTAAACCTGGTTTGAATGGAGACTAAGCCCATTTTGATCCATATTTATTTCTGATTCTGTTCATGGTGGAGAATCCTGCTTCACAGCAGCAGGTTGAGCCAAACATCCTCTAAATGTGCAGGGTCATCTTTGAGCACCATTTCACTTTTCTTTCACCAATTCACCACAGTTCTTCCAGCAGTCCGCACTTTCTCTGCTCTCTTTTTCTCATCATCTTCTCCTTCTTTCCCATCGCCCGGCTTGCCACAGGTTTGCCTGCTGTGTCTAAAAGTAGCAGCAGCAGCAACCCAGACTGACAGCAGCTCATTGGATCATTTAGATCACATGTAGCCTGGTGCCGGATGCTACGGAGGGCTTTACCGTATTAACAGGAGAAGCAGCGCAAGTGAAATTAGAAATTGTCGTCTGACAACATGCGGTAATTTATAAATGTTTTAAGAGAAAATTATTTGAGAAAATAAAAATTATATATATATATATAAATTCCATAAAATATATGAAAAATACATTTAAAGTACCTTGTTTGAATTAGAGAAATTGAAATGGGACAAATACAATTGAAATAAATAGCATTTTTTGAAATGCATTTTTTTATTCCAGTTTAAGAAACATTTTAGTCTTCTTTGCTCGCCACAAAAATGGGACAAACTTCACTCCTTAAAAAAAAAAAATCTAAAAATTTAAAATAGAGATTTGTTCTTAAAAATAAAATTTAAACTGTTTTTTGTTTTTTTTTTCTTACAAAACATGTTCTTTTTATTTGCAACAATGAAGGAACAAAATGTACTCCATATTAGCCCACCTGTATTTTATGTCTGTGGTGAATCTCCACTGGGAAGCCATGGCGCATGCTCTCTGTATACCAGCTGACGTCCAGCAGGTGGAGCTCTCCCTGCCTGCGCTGCTGGGCCTCCAGCCACATCCTGACTTCCTCTCCGGAATTGTTCTCACAGATAACATGTGTCACATTTTCACTGAGGAGACAGACAGTTTGTTTTTAGGATTCCTTTTCTTTTTTTATGCTGAAACCACATTATTTAAATTCTATGTAAAAAAACAAACTGAAACCTGCTTTTTGTTTGGAATTCAAGTTTTTATTGAACCTTTGAAAGTCGCTGGACACTGAAAACTATGTGGAGGCACTAGTGATGCAGAGATGAAGCCTCATGAGGCATTGAACCCTTTGGCCACCTACTGGTGGAGTGCAAAACTACAGTTAGTAACTGAATCTGTGATTTTTTGCAATTGTTTTTCCCCCATTTAAGGTCCTTTAAAATTATTAGTCAGTTAATTAGTGTGTGTAATAAAATATTTTGTGTAAAATGTCTTAGAAGAGAATAATCATTTTAGGTACACGTTTTTTTCTGCCATTTTGGTGAAATAAGCTCAAGCAGACAGTGAAAGTGTTTGTGCAAACTGTGCAACGATGAGCAAAATGAAACAACGATGTTATTTTAAGGTTTAATTTTTATTTAAACATTATAGTTTTTCCACCGTTCTGGTTATAATTGGGTTGGAAGTTATGCATTGAAACAACCTTTCGCCTAAACCAGCCAATCTAATCTGGCAGTGTTTTTACACAAGCTCTATTTTTACTAGGGCAAATCAATACAAATTAGTCACATTAGCCAAAATACTATAAGTATAATCGCAACTTTCAAAAGTAATCAGGGTCTTAAACCATCAACCTCAGGAGTGAGAGTCAATGTCTAACAGCTGACGCCACAAACATAGTTAATGCACTAGTGACAGCAAAAGTACTTTGAAAAGTACTAAAGCTACATCTGTGTCCAGCGTCTGTCTCAGATTTTGATCATTACATTGTTTAATTTAACTAAAATAGTTTTAACCAACTAGATTGGTTGGAAAAACAACCAAATCTGTTCTTAGAATCTATCCAAACTCCATCCATCTGACAGCAGCTCTCCTCCAAACTCCAACATCTTGACTGAATCCTGAGGCTGTTTAAATGTCTGTTGAAGTTCTTTCTCTTTCTGATCCGCTACCCGAAGCGGTCACCAGGTATCACAGTAGCGAGGCTTCGAACGTCATCAATTTTGGCCCCGCCCCTCGATAAATCATGCCTCGACATGCGCTTCGGGGAAACACCCCCTCCACTACTCGACACACGCCTCGAAGCCTCGGCTCATCTCATAACATCACCACCTGCACATTTTGCCTTAAAGGAATAGTACACCCAAAACATGATTAGCCTTCATTTTCTACTCACCCCCATGCTGAACAACACTCTGGAGTACTTTTTTGATATCTCAAATGCATCTGGAGATCTGGGAGGCTTCTTGCTGTCTGCTGACATTCAAATAATGGAGGTCTATGGTGCCCGAGACAGAAAGTTCCATAAAAGTCCACAAAAAACGTGTCAATATTCCTCCATACTGCTCGTCCAATGTATTCCAAGTGTCCTGAGTGGGTAGCATCCAGTATTTACTCGAAACGAAGTCATTTAGAATGTTTTTAGAGCATAAACAGTAGTGTATAGGATTTCCTAAAAGCGTGTTCACGAGTCTACGGAAACCGCGGCAGACCAAACCAGATGAAAATGCGCATTCAGCGTCTGCTCTGCCAATAATGCAAGCGTAGAAGAAGAAATGTGCCGTTTACCTGCGCAAAGAAAGAAACAACGAAAGAAAAATGTCTGAGGACTTCGGTGTTGAGGAAGAGCATGAGTTCTTTGCCGAGCTGAATGCGCACTTTCGTCTGGTTTGGTCTGCCGCGGTTTCCGTAGACTCGTGAGTAGTGCATAGGATTTCCTAAAAGTGCGTGCTTTTAGGAAATCCTATGCACTACTGTTTATGCTCTAAAAACATTCTAAATGACTTCGTTTCGAGTAAATTCTGGATGCTACCCACTCAGGACACTAGGAATACATTGGACGAGCAGTATGGAGGAATATTGACACGTTTTTTGTGGACTTGTTGTCTATAATTCTCTTCTTGAAGACTTAAAATTGAAGCTAAGTTTTATAAAAATTAAAAGTTCTTAAAAAGCAGAAAAAGACTCAAACAATTTAAAATTTTTTTTTTTTTTTTGTTTCCCCAACTCAAAACCACAAAAAAGGCTTGGGTTTTTTTGGGGCCCCTTGATAAATATCCCCGACAGGGGTTTTTTTTCGGGGAAAATTTTTTTATTTTTTAAGTAAAAATTTTTTTTTTGTTTTGTTTTAAAATTTTTTTCCCCCAAAAATTTGTTTTTTTTTTTCTTTTTTTAAATAAAACAACAAACCCTAAATTTTTGTTCCCAATTTGGGGGGTCGGGGGGTTTTTTTTTGGTGTTTTAAGGGGGTCTATTTTTTTTTTTAAAAAGTTTTTTTAAAATTCAAAAAAATTTTTTTTTTTTTTTTGTTTTTTTGGGTTTTTGGGGTTTGGGTTTTTATTTTTTTTGGTTTTTTTTCCAAAACAAGTTTTTTTTTTTTTTTTTTTTTTTTTTTTTGGTTTTTTTGGTTTGTTTTGGGGTTTTTTGGGGCCCCCTTTTTTTTTTTTTTTTTTTTTTTTTTTTTTGAATTTTTTAAAAAAAAATTTTTTTTTTTTTAAAAAAAAACAAAAAAAGAAAAATTTTTTTTTTTCTTTTCTGAGTTTTTTTTTTAATCCCACTTTTTTTTTTTGGGTTTTCCCTTTCCCGTGCCTCTTTTTTTTTTTAGGGGGCTTTTTTTTTTTTTTTTAAATTTAAATTTTTTTTTTAAAATTTTTTTTGTTTTTTTTTTTCTTTAAAAACATTTAAAATTTTTCTTTTTTTTTAAAAATTTAAATTTTCCCCCATGGGTTGGGAAAAAAATTCCCAAAATTTTTGGGTTTTTTGCATTTTTTTTTTTATTGTTTTTTTTTTTTTTTTTTTTTTTAAATTTTTTTTTTTTTTTTACTTTTTTTTTTTTTAAAAAGAAAAAGTTTTTTTTTTAAAACTTTTTCTTTTTTTTTTTAAACCTTTTTTTTTTTATTTCCTTTTTTTTTTTTTCCGGGGTTTTTTTGAAACCAAACCACTTTTACGGGGAGGGTGATTTTTTACAATTTTTTAAAAGGGTAAAAAGTTTTTTTTTTTTTTTTTTTAAAAAATTTTTTTTTTTTTTTTTTTTAAAATTTTTTTTTTTTTTTTTTAAAAGGGGGGTTTTTTTTTGAAATTTTTTTTTTTTTAAACCCTTTACCAAAAACCCCTTCCCCCCCAAATCAAAAAACTTTCTTTTTTTCCAAAAAAAGGGTCAGCCCTTGTTTTAAAGCCATGTCAGTTTTCCTTACTGCTCCCCCCCGTCTAATCCCCCTTTTCTGGGCCATTACTGCCCCGGGTGTGCTTTAAAAATTAAAAAATCCTTTTTTATGGCCAGATTTTGCTGAGCTGGGCTCCCTTGAGAGGGTTCAATATTTAAATTTTTTATTGCGGGTGCTTTTTATCACAAAGGGGGCCCTTTAACCCGGGTTTGTCCTGTAGATTTTCACCCCCATTGGCGTGATACACACACCCCACCCTGCTTCTTCCTCCCCGGCTCAAAGGGCCCTCTTTAACAGTTTTTTGTAAAAACAATTTAAAACTTAAAAAAATTAATTTTTATTTTATCTTATGATTAGGGGCGGGATTAATACACAACATTCCCCCCTTTGATCCAAAAAGGATAAATTTTACGTGATTATGCAGGTGTAAACAAATCTAAAACACCTTAAATTGAAACTCACCCAGGGGAAAAAAAATTTATTTTATATATTGTGCACATTTAAAAAAAAACGTGAGATTATACACACACCATATAGTAGAAGTGAGTAATATAAGATGTGGTGGTGTCTGAGTAAATATTAAACTAATAAAATGCAGAAAACAGATTATATAAAAACAAAAAGAAAAAGCTTCATCTTCTAATGGTAAAAAGGCCCGCCCTTTAACAACCAAACTTTTAGGAGTACACCATTTTGGGACTCCCCTGCCGAAATTTGTATGTCAATAAAAGTAACAATATGTTTAACAAAGGTATGCATAATAAATCAAAAATTCGCTTTGGGCCCTTATATCCAGTTTTTGGGTTGAAGTTGATAAATTAATAAAAATTTAATACCCTCCAAAATTTGGGTCCTTTAAATTTTCTCCCCTCCTTTCCCGGGCCCCCCATGGGTAAGGGAGCCTTACGCTGCGGGATCACCCGGTCGCTGCATCCCCCCTGCCTTTGGGGTGATAATGGTCTGATGGGGCTTTCCGAAGTTGCCCCTGCTCTTGTAATTGAAAAAGGTCGGGTTTGGAACCCCGAAGTTGTGCCTCATTTCGGGATTGTCCGGGTCAGCTCCCGTTTCCCCCGGGCCTTTACTTTGCGTTTGTACATGGTGCGGCGTCCGTTAAAAAGGACCGCGTGGCTCGGGGTGCGCCAGCCCCTTCATGAATTGGGCATAAATGATGGGGTTTCATAGGGGTGATTTGGGCTTAAGGTCAGGGGTTGGTATCATAGGACTCCAGCGGAGGAGCCAAAAAACTTTTGAAACCCTTTAATGAGCTTGGGCCCAAGATCAAGTTTTAGGGTCATTGCTATAAACACGAACTTTCCGTACGCGGAAAGGGTGGTGGCGGATAATTATTGGTGGGGTGATGGTGGTCGTCGATCTGGAATTCTAAGGATGGCAGGGGTGCGGGTTTTGGGCCCAAAAAAATCGATACTGAGGTTCCCGGGTGGGATGAGAGATGGACAGTGGTTCCTAGTAGGTAATGGGGGTTTGGGTCATCAGGCTCCCTGCTGGGTGTCATCATCGGTTGATCCTCAGGCTCCCTTTGCGGGGTCCCAAATCAAGGTTTGTTTCCCAAACCCCGAAGGTGCACGGGCCTTGGGCCCCTCTGCAGGATCAAAGTAGGTCCCTGGGAGGAAGATAGGGGCACCCCTACCCTAGGAGGGGCCCTTTAACGACGCCAGTGAAAGCTCGAAAATTTTATTTGGGTTTTTTTTTAATATTCACCCTTTTAACTACCCCTCTGCCTGTTAAATTTAATCTAT